GCGGAGTCAGCCCCGGGGCTGCCCCAGGCCGGGCCGCAAAGGGACCAGGACAGGCGGCGGCGGAGGAGGCTCCTCGCCAAGGAGAGGAGATCATGCGGCTGTTCGTTTTAAATTTTAAATTTTAAATTTCTCCCAGACAGATGTCATTGGGGAAGGAACAGTTGAGTTTGCAGCTCCGGCGGGGGGCGGCAGGGGCGGGCCTTGGCAGCCTGCTCTTTGTGGAGCAGCTCAGTGGCTGGGGCCGCTCTACAGTTTGCAAAGAAGCCTTTTCCATTTGGCGCGGACTCCTCAGCGGATCGGACAGGGGGCGGAACCGCCGAGTCACACTGCAAGGGGGAGCGGGGGCGTGGGGGGGGGGTTCGGACCCAGGTGACTGTGCCTCCTTTTCGACCTTTCCCCACTGGATACCTGGCCCTTCCTGCTGGGATCTAACCTCCTCCTCCTCCTCCTCCTCAGCACCAGCCATCCGACCTTCAGGACTTGTCCCCCAGGTCCATCCCTGGCCTGGCCGGTTCTCCACACAGATGTGTGCTGGTCCAGGTTCCCCAAACCCATGCACAAATGCATGTACCCCTCTTCCTTTGGGGATACCTGGGGTGTTCTTCAAAACCCAGCTCAAGCCAGGTGTGCTGGTACACACCTGTAACGGGAGCACTCAGGAGGCTGAGGCAGGAGGATTGCCAGGCTTGAGGCCCCCATGAACTACATAGTGAGACCCTGCCTCTAAATAAATTAACTGAATTTAATTAAAATTAAAAAGGGGGCTGAGCGTGGTGGCGCATGCCTGTCATCCCAGCACTCAGGAGGCTGAGGCAGGAGGATCACTGTGAGTTCGAGACCAGCCTGAGCTACATAGTGAGTTCCAGGTCAGTCTCACTACATAGTGAGACCCCATCTCAAAAAAACCAAAATGAATAAATAAATTAATTAAATTACAAAGGGACCAGGGTGTAGCTCAGTGACAGAAGGCTTAGCCAGCATGCATGAGAACCTAGGTTCAATTCTCAGTACCACAAAAAAAAAAAAAAATCAACTCAGATGGGGCCCCTCCTCCAGGAAACCTCCCCGATGCCAGTGGCTGCCTCTCTAAGTGCTGGCCCTCTGCACCCTTATCTCACTGCTTTGGCCGCAGCCCCAAGCCCCTCCTCCAGTGGGAGCCCCTTGGGAGACGCACACCTCCCAGGCCCCTGCATGCCTCCCCGGTTTGCTCCGGTTTGCTCCAGTTTGCTCATGGGGCTGCTTGAAGCTGCTGCAGAAAGGGTCTCCGGGAGGAGGGCGGAGCCAAGCCAGCAAGGGGGGCGGCAGCAGCTTCTAAGACAGCCTCGCGATGTCCTGGACTGGGTGGGAGCCACCCCGCTCAGGTCCAATGCTCCCCATGGTGACAGAGTGTGGGCCAGGTGTCCCTGCCAGCTCTGTTCCTCTCTGAGGCTGCAGACAGTGACCAGGCCTTGGCTGGTTCCCTGGAGCTCCTCGCCCTCTGGCTGCCCTTTCTTGCCCCCCTTGCTGTGTGTCCCTGCGAAAGTTCCTCCCCCTCTCTGGGCCTGGGTTTTCCCATCATGAACATGGGAGCTGCCATTCCTGCCTCGTCCTCTTCGCAGGGCTGTCATGAGCAGAGGGAAAGCCCAGGTGTGTTTTGCACACTGTAAAGCCCCAAGCACCCACCGGAGGCTGGTTCTCAGCACAGTCGGTCCCCTCTCATGGTCACTGGGTCCTGACGCCCCCTCTGCCCACCCAGGATTGGCCAAGGTATGGGAAGGGGCGCTTCCTCCAGGGCACCAGGCCAGCCCTGGGCACCCGTCTGGTGCCCACGACCCTCTTTGTGTGGTGACGATGCCCTGGAGGTTGGCGGTGGGATGATTACCACCCCTCACATCAGGGCTCGAGGCTGGGGCGTGGAGCGGGCCGGAACCCGTGTCTGGGGAGTTGAGGGGCAGCAGGGCTGCCTCCCGCAGGAACTGATGTCACCGAGGGTGACATTGTCCCGCTCCTGGGTCTGCCTGGGTCCCAGCCCTGTGTGCGTCATCCCTGCACTGCTGGGTGACTTTGGACACTCGCCTGCTTGGACTTTGTCAGTGCGTCTTGTGTCCCCCCAAGGAGGACAGGAAGGGATTGTCATCCTTGGCACAGGGAGAAGCGGTGGACAGGTGTTTGCAGGAAGTTGGAGCAGCTGGGATGAACGGAGCTAGAAACAGAGTTGGGTTTTCTCATCCTGGAACATGGCCCGCAGTCACCCCGAAGCTGCCTCCTCCGGAGGGGCGGGCCTTACCCCCCACCGCAAGGTCAGCCCATCCCTGTGGGGCCCCCTAGATGAGTCCTGGAGAGACTCAGGCTGGGAAGTGCTTCCTGGCGTCTGACCTCCATCCTTGACACACGTTTCTTTCACTGGGTGGCTCTTTACTGGGCCCTGGGAGGAACAGCCCGTGCCTGGGGGTTCTGGGGGCTCTGGGGACCCGCAGTCTGGTGTCACCACAAGCTTCGATGGAGCCAAAGCTGTGGGCCTTGTTCTTGATCCTGGGGTTTAGAGCAGGGGGCTGCCTCAGGAGGGAGGATGGTAAAATCAGGGACTTGGGGGCACCAAGGACCCCCTCCTCCTGCTGGTTCTGACCCCAGGTCCCTGGGGAGGGACCCGAGTGTGCCAGCTGTGTATTCGGCCTGGCAGAGCCGAGCTTCGGGTGAGAGCTGGGGGCCCAGGAGGGCAGTGCCACCCCTGCTCTCTCCTGGTACCAGGCCCTGCTGGGACCCCCGAGGTTCCCAGTGTCCCTCAGTCTGAGCTCTGTTGATTACATCCAGCAGGACAGTAGCTCCGATCTCACAGCAGCCCGCACCCCCTGAGTCTTGGGGACCCTGGAATTGGGGGAAAACACAGCTGTCACCCACAGGCCGGGGGCTCAGAGTTCAGGCCCTATGGGAGCCATCTGCCCAGGCCAGCAGCAGTGTGGGCGTGTGGGGGACACGATGGAGCCCCAGGGGCTGGGGTGGGGCTCTGCCATCTTCCAGGGGCTCAGGCTGAGAGCCAAGCCGCATCCAGCCAGCTGGGAGCTCGTCAGTGGCAGAAGTGGCTTCAAACCTGGGTCTCAGGAGCCGGGCTCCTGGCTCCTCTTAGCGGGGTGTGCACCCCACTCCACCATGGCTGGAGGCTGGCAGTAAGCCCCGGTCCCGAGGGCGCCCGTCCGCAGCCACAGCCCCTATTATCTCGCTGATTTCCTTGCAAGGCACGTAAGCCACAGCCTGTAAAAGCGCAGCTCTTCCTCCTGAAGGCCGATCTCAGAAGACTAATTCTCCTCTGCCGGTGCCTTGCTTCTGCTCCAGGCCCCGATGTCCCCTGCCTCCAGGGAGCCCTCAGGTCCCAGCCCCTCCTGCTCCATGTCCTGGGGGGGGGAGGCTGCCCCCAGGGACCGGGACCTCAGCGCCACACAGACTGATGTCACAGCTCCTGCTGCTTGGGGCAGGGTCTGTGTGAGCCCTGCTGAGGGTGCGACAGGGACTCCCGTGCCGACACAGCTCTGTCCGTGGGGCTGGAGCACCGAGGGTGGCTCGGCCAGCGGGCCCAGCGTCCCTGTGATTCCAGAGTCACCTGTCCTGGCTTCTTGCGTGCCTCCCCTGCCCATCCCCAGTGCGACTCTGGGCTGTTTTTGCTCTCTGAGCCTCAGTTTCCTCATTGTAGCACTAGCCGGTATCAGAGGTTTGGACTCACGCCCAAGGGTCAGTGACAGTGGTGAGGACCGGCGGTGGCCGGGGGCTGTCCACGGCCTGGAGGTCTCCTCCTTCTGTGCCATGCAGCCAGGGGTGGCCCCACCTCAGGCATAGCGGGCAGCCCCCACCCCGTCCCCTCCTGGCCAGCACTGTCCTGGAACCGGCCTCGCCCACTGCTCCTCCTTGCTCCCTGTCTGTCTGTCATTCTGTCCCCCTCTCTGCCTCCCCCGGCCCTCAGGCTGCATGGTGCCAGGTCCCCGTGTGGGGCAGGGACAGGTGGGGGCGCTGTGGCCCTCCTCTTGAGAACAAACAGGTCCCTTTGGCAGGGTCTGCTTGTGGCCTGCACCTCACCCTGCCCACCCCCTGGAGAGTCAGCCTCTAGCATTTGAAGGAACAGCTGTTTGCTCTCAGGCTTTTCTTAGAGTTAAGACAGGGGATGTTTTGTGTATCACCCAGCGAGAAGGCGAGCTGTCAGTTACTGTTGCCAGAGGAGGCCCTGCAGGGCCAGCAGTGTTACAAGGTAAGAGACAGAACTCTGGGAGGCTGAGGCAGGAGGATTGCAAAGTAGAATCCAGCCCGGGCAACCTGTGGCTTAGTAAGACTGTGCCGCAAATGAAACATTTTAAAGAGGTCTGGGAATATAGCTCAGCGGGAAGGGCCTGGGTTCCATCCCAGTACTGGGAGAAAAAGAGAAGAACAAACGTGCAGTGTAGGGCAGCTGGGGGGACAGAGAAGCGACCGCAGCAGCGCCCGGGCGGATCACGGATAACGAAAGCCGCTCGTGTTTATTTCAGAAGCCCAAGGTGCCAGGCACGGTTCCAAACGCGTTAATACACTAGTCATTTCCAGAGACACCTTGGACTCAGAAGGTCGGGAGCTTGGGGGGAGCGTGTGATGTTGAGGCAGTGGGTAGCAGGAGGTGCCTTCCTGGGAGAAGCAGGAGCCCTGAGTGCAGGCTGAGCTCTGTTTCTAATTTGCTGTGTGACTCTGGGCGAGCCCCTTGCCCTCTCTGGGCCTCTCCTTTTCTCGGGTGTGAAACAGCAGCAGAGGCGAGTAACGTGGTGTGGCGAACCTGGGCCCCTCGAGCCTTCATTGCTGCAGAGTCGTGGTGCTGCGTTTGGTTTTTAATTACAAGCCGGCTCCTGTTGCTGGACCCCCGTGCCCACCCTGCCCCTGGGACCTGCCCGGGACCTGCTCTGTGGAGTGAGGAGAGGAAGGGCGAGGGGCCGCGAGGGTGGGACAGACAGCGGCCACGGCGCAGGGGAGGTGGGTGCTGCGGGTTGGAAGGGGCCTTCGTGCCCATTTGTCACAACATTTTCTCAGGGCCGGGGATTTAGCTCAGTGCTGCCACCTACCTTGCAAGTGCAAGGTCCTGAGTTCAGTCCTGGTACCGAACCAAATAAAGAGCACTTTCTCAGTGCATTTGCAGCGAGTTCCTGGTATTGTACGGGGCACATCTTCCCTTCCTCCCCCTCCAGTCCGCCCCCAGGTAGCTGTGCACAGAGACAGGGGATCGTTGTTGCCCCAGTTACGGTGGGCAATGGAAGCTCTCGCTGGAGGTCACCTGAGCCCAGACCTGGGGGCTGTAGGGAGGGACATTATTTTTCTGATGCTCGGGATGGAACCCAGGCCCTCGTGCATGCTGGCCAAGTGCTCACCCCTGAGTTCCACCCCCAGCTCTTTTTATTTTGAGATAGGTCTCACGAGGTTGCCCAGGTTGGCCTCAAACTTGCCCTCCTGCCGCCTCAGCCTCTGGAGTAGCCGGGAGTGGGAATGAATCTGAGCTCTAGCCCCACCTGGATTAGGGATTAGGGCCTGAGGGCAGAACAGAGGTGCCCTACTCTCCTTTCTCGACGGCACCCTTTGCGTCTCGGCCCGTCCGTCCCTGGGCCTCTTCTGGGTCTCCTGCCCGCCTCGCTCTGTCGCTGACGCTTACCCTTCTCTCTCCTGTCTGTCCCTCTGTCCGGTCCCTGCTTCCTGGCTCCCTGCAGCGGCCGAGCTGCAGCTGCGTCCTGTGTACCGTGCTGCTGTCCCTGGCCGTCCTGCTGGCCGTGGCTGTCACCAGCACCGTGTTCTTCCTGAACCACATGCACGTGGCGGGCACGGCACTGCCACCCATCGTGAGCACGGGGCCGGCGGGGGCCAACAGCGCACTGGTCACCGTGGAGAGGGCCGACAGCTCGCACCTGAGCGTCCTCATCGACCCGCGCTGCCCTGACCTCACAGACGGCTTCTCGCGCCTGGAGGGGGCCCAGGCCTCTGTGCTGCGGGCCCTGGCCGAGCACCGCGCCCAGCCGGCGCTGGATGGAGCCCCGGAGCGGGAGCTGCTGGACACCATGGCTGACCAGCTGTCCCGGCTGCTGGCCCGGGCCTCAGAGCTGCAGGCTGAGTGCACCGGGCTGCACAAGGACCACGGCGAGTTGGGGCAGGGCCTCAGCGCCCTGCAGAGCGACCAGAGCCACCTCATCCAGGTGAGGGCGCCACACCCACAGCCCGGGCAGGTGCAGGCTGCTGCCGTCTGGCCCACAGGCTACCTCCTCGGCCACCAGCCCCGGAGCCAGGCTCAGGCTTGGGTCCTGCCCTCAGTCTGCTGGTGTCAAAGGCCCTGTGCCTGGGGTGGCAGGCGGAACCCAGGCCCGGGGCACAGACCAGTGCACCTCGGAGGCAAACCCAGGGTGGGAGGGCCAGAGGCCGCCGCCCTCTGTCCCCAGCTCTGCCTCAGTGCCTCCCTCCAGGACTCAGAGGCTATCCGCGGAGCTCCTCCCAGCCCTGCCCCAAGCTGGCCGACGAGGAGCTGCCCACACGGGGCCGCTGCCACCTTCCCGAGTCCTGAGCACCCTGCCCAGCCCTGTTCCGCGTCACCCTGTGCCTCAGCTCCTCGGGGCGGGAGCCGTGTCCCTGCTCTGACACCAGCCCCAG